ACGTGCTGCACACACACGGGATATTATTCTAATCTTGTACTTTAAGAAGGGGAGGCAGGAGGATCATCTCCAGATGCCCCCAGGGATTCCGCAACAAGAAAGTGCCCAGAAAATCTCACAGCTTCTAAAGGACAAGGTAGAGGATTTGGGCTCTGCATCCTCATCCTGACCTTGCTGACTCTAACACGTACATGGTCAGCTTGGGGTACAGGGGCTCAGCCAGCATCTTGGTGGACGCACATCCAGTAGAAATGTGCCAAGCCCCTCTGGACGGGATGGTCAGGAACAGCATCTCTGATTCCCCAGGTCTGGCTACAAAAAGGACACCAAGCTTGTGAAGGGTGACACTCTCAACCCAACAGAAGAGTGCGACTTGCCAAGGACAATCTGCCTGTGGAACTCAGGGCTCTCACGCTCCGCTCCATCTCTTCTGGCTGCACCAGGTCAAGCAACACCAACCAAAAGCCTCACCTGGCCCCTTTTTCTTTACTGGCCAGGAACAAAACATCAGCTTCCTGTAGATCTCTTTATGTCCTCCTCAAGGATTCAAATGCACCCCTCATTCGTCCACACGCCGATTTCTGCCTTCCCACACATTGTTCCTTCCGTGGCAGACTCCCTGCCCCCACCCCACACTTACCCTTCCTGTCTCAGCTTAGATGTCAACTTCTCAGAACTGCCTTTCCTGCCCACAATGCTGTTCAGTATCTTTACACCCAAACTGCACCCAGCCCCCTTGCATATCAAGGACCACAGGTATAGTTTTTATTTGTCTATTAGTTTACTTGTTTATTGGCCAGGAGTACGGTGGTGGTGGGTCCTGTGAGAACACAAGCCAGGCATACTTGCGGAATGCATTGATGCCCACAGACTGTGAGCCCCCTAGTGTAGCACTCCATTGGTGTTATCTCTGGCCACAGCTGTGCACGCTGCTGTTGGAAGGCCAGTGAGCAAGGCTGGTATTTGCACCGAGGCCTGGGCTCCAGGGTGTTAGCTGTCCACCTCTCTCATTTGCAGGGCAGAACTGGGCATAGGGGAGACTAGCTGTGCCTGGAGAAGAGAGAAAACTAGGTCCAAGAAGCAGGCAATTTCATTTCCAATAACCTTAAGGGTCCTGTGGGGTTGACTCATTAGTTGTGCTCACAGCCATTGTTTTTCCAGGATGAGCTAGAATATAAGAGCACGACTGCAGTTGTTCAATTTGCCAGAGTACGTGTCCTCTGGGGCTCGCTGCCTGTGTGCCTGAAGCATGCTGCCTGCTCAAGGTCTGCTCGGATTCTCCCCCGATCAGCTGGGAACTTCGCAGTTGCAAGTGACATTAAAGCCAACCCAAACTGGCATACGCATACATAGAAGTCATTGGCTTTCACAATCGGAAAAGTCCGAGGACAAGGCTGGCTTTACATGCAGCTTGACCCAGGGGCTCAAGCAATATCCTCAGAGCCTGGCGTTCCTCCTGGGTGTCTCGGCTCCACAGCCCCTGGGTGACTCTGTCCCAACCCCCTGTAGCGGTAACAGGGTGGCTACTTCAGCTCCAGCCTTGAAGTGCTTCGGGTGTTCAGCTTCAGCAGTAAAGAGGATAGCCAACCTCTTTTCCAGTGGCCCCAGGAGTACTTTAGTGACTCTAATATAGTGACTCATGGTATTTTAGTGACTCTAATCTGGTCCCTGAAGATCAAGGTGGGCAGGTGTGGGGGGCAGACCCACCCCTGGAGCAGAAGGAAGGGTCAGACCCTCCCACAGCAGGAGGGCGACACTGGAGAGATGCCCTAAAGAAGCAAAGGAACTAGAATAGCCCAAACAACGTTCAAAAAGGAGAACGGAGTTGGAGGACTCACATTACATGGTTTCAAAACTTACTAGAAAGTGATGCTAATCAAGAGAGTGTGGCATTGGGGAAAGGAGAGACACATAGATGCATGAACCAGACCAAAGGACCCATAAACAGACCTCCATACATATATGGTTAGCTGATACGGTTGGCAAATGTGTAAAGGTAATTCAATAGAGAATGTTTAGTCTTTTCAACAAAACATGCTGGAACAATTCAACATCTATATGCAAAAAAAAGAAAAGAAAAGAAAAAAAGAAACTCAACCTATATTCACACCATAATAAAAAAATGAATTCAAAATGGGGCTTCAATCTAAATGTAATATCCAAAACTGTAAAATTTCTAGAAGAAAACATAGTAGAGAATATCCGTGATCTTGAGGTAGGCAGAAATTTCTTAAGGTATGACATAATCCATAAAAAATACAATTGGTAAAATGAACTGCATCAAAATTTAGAATGTCTATCTTGTGAAAGATGTTAAGAGAATTAAGAAACCATACACTGTGGGAAAATATTGCAAATCAAATATTTAATCGAGGGCTTTTATCCAGAATATTTAGAGAACTCCAAACACTCAGTGATAAGTGCAGGTTACCTCTGAGCCTCCTGGTGGTCTTCCTTCACCTGCCTCTCCTCCCTTCCTTAAGGCTGTATCTTAGAAAAATGCCTTTTGGGTTTTTAAATAGAATATGACTCTTTGGTACAGTAAAAATATATTTGAAAACTGAAAAAACGAAGAGAGATGCATATTAAAAACCATACTGAGATACTATTGTACAACTATTACAATATAGTTAAAATTAAAAATGTGGCCTTGGCTGGTGTGGCTCAGTGGATTGAGCATCAGCCTGTGACCCAAAGGGTTGCCAGTTCGATTCCGAGTCAGGGCACATGGCTGGGTTGTGGGCCAGGTCCCCTGTGGGGAGCATGCGAGAGGCAACCCCACATTGATGTTTCTCTCCCTCTTTTTTCCTCTCTTCCTCTCTGCCTAAAAATAAACAAACAAAATCTTCTATAAAATAAAATAAAATAAAATAAAATAAAATAAAATAAAATAAAATAAAATAAAATAAAATAAAATAAAATAAAATAAAATAAAATAAAATAAAATAAAATAAAATATGTGTTCAAAGCAAGACTGGGGAAGATGCCAAGCACATGGAACTCTCAAACGTTGCTGTTGGGAATGCAAAATGCTGCAGCCACTCTGGAACAGTCTGGCAGTTTCATATGAAGTTAAACATCCCACTCCTAAGTACTGTACTTACCCTATAGAAAAAAACATGTTTTTCATCCAAAGTGCTGTACCAAATCCTTACAGTGGCTTTATTGATGGTGATTAAAAACTGAAAAAAATCCAAATATTTCACCTGGTGAATGGGTAAATTGTAGTGTATTCATACAGTGGGATACCATTCACCAATGAAAATGAGCAGACTATTGACACAACATAGAAGAATCCAAAATCCATATGATAAGTAAAAAAATCAGGATCAAGTGGCTATCTACTACATGATTCCAATGATATGACGTTCAGGAAAATGCAAAGTTATGGGATTGGAAACCAGACCAGTGGTCCCCAGCGCTTGGGGATGTGGGAGGGGTTGATCACAAATTTGAAAGTTATTGGGTGATAGAGCTGTTCTGATATCTTCATAGTGTTGGTGATTATACAGCTGTTTGCATATAGAACTGGACACAAAAGGAGCGAGTTTAATTGTTAATAAAATTTAAAACCAAAAACAAGATGAAAATGAAAGAAACCAACAAAAATGCTTCTCTGAGTTCCCTTCAGCATTTCTGGGACTCAGACCTGCTGCTGATGGTAAAAATCTCCTTGGCAAGAGACAAATTATCCATAAGAATGAAATTATATTTGCTTTTCCAAATGGGCAGAGGAAAAAGAAATTTAAAAAAAACTAAGCCTATAAGCACCAAATAAATACCTCATTAGTTTGGACTCTTAAACTGTCAGTTTTCATACACATGGTTTTTCCATAAATAGTCATGTAATTTTTTTATCCTTTAGCGTGTAGCTTCTTAAGACTCATACCTTCCTATTTTGTTTTTCAAAGATTAAGCCTCACAAACACTGTCTACAATAGATAATGTCGCATCTAAAGTATATAGTTCTATCATTTTCAGGCATCATGTTTATTTTAATATTTTACCATTCAGTCGAGTTATCCATCTGCTGGTCCTGAATGTTTAATAACAAAGTTGGCATCACCGGGCTCCAGGAAGCTTCACAATGGGCAAACGCTTCTAACTTTCTAAAGTGTCATTTAATATTATCCTACATCTTACTCAGCTGTCCACATGAGGGACAGTAGAAGAGAAGAATTTAATTTTCAGGTCAGATTTCATGAGATACGGGATCCAAGATCTTTTTAAGAAAGTCCATTTCTACTGTAATGGGGTCATCCACATATCATCCTCTTAACTTTCATAATCAAATCAATTAATGCCTTGGTTTGTTAATCTGGGTCCATTAGCCCCTGTAAACGTGCTAAATTATTTCATTCTATTATAAGAAAAAATATGGAAGCATCTGGAGGCTAACAATATTAGAAATATAATTTAACATTATAATTGGGTGCTCACAAAATAAGTTCAGATTAGAACCTATAAAAATTCTTGGAAAACACTTGTTTTATTAGATAAAATCTATTATGTCGTCAAGAGTAGTCAGCAGACACTGAGTGTTCCATATTGACATAGTGGGTGGATATTTGTCCAAGACTCTTGAGTGACATTCAAAATCACTTGTGCCCTTCATTGTGAAATTAAAATATCAATGGACCAAGTCACCCAGGATAAACTGAATTAGATCTATCATTGCTTTTTGTTTCTTAAGAGAAAACAGGCTGAAAAATGGATTATTAATCAGTGTCATTTGTTGCTGAGCCCCTTGCTTGTGAGGTACATGTGGCAATTTTAGAAGGGGTGCCAGGACAGGGGTGCCGGCCTGGGCAAGACCGGAGACTTGGTGGCTCGAGCCCCAGCTCTCCAAACACTACGGAGAGGGTCATAAAATCTAAAGCTGATGAATTTGCCCTTTTAAAATAAATCACTGGGTTAGTAAATTAACATAAACTTAAAGACCTCAAAGCATAAAACAATGAATGGTCAGAATAAAATTACGCTATGCTAATTTTATGCAGGAATGGACAGACCACAAATTACGCTGGAATCCTGATGACTATGGTGGAATTCATTCAATTAAAGTCCCGTCAGAATCTCTCTGGCTTCCTGATATAGTTCTCTTTGAAAAGTAAGTATCACAAAATTAAAGGACACTAGGCAGATTAGGACTAGAAATAGAAAAGCCTGATGTTGGTAAAATAAAAGAGAAATACATGACTTCAAGTAATAAGAGTGTTGTTTCTTTTTGAAATATTGTTTAACCTTGTAAAGAGAAAGTAATAAAATACAATAGTACAATGATTTGGCAAAACTAAACTAAAAAAAACCACTCTCATGTGTTCAACTTACTACTGAATAAAACAACTTTTCCTACAGTGCTGATGGACGTTTCGAAGGCTCCCTCATGACCAAAGTCATAGTAAAATCCAATGGAACTGTCGTTTGGACCCCACCTGCCAGTTATAAAAGTTCGTGCACCATGGACGTCACGTTTTTCCCATTTGACCGGCAGAACTGCTCCATGAAGTTTGGTTCCTGGACCTACGACGGTACCATGGTTGACCTCATTTTGATAGATGAAAATGTTGACAGAAAAGACTTTTTTGATAATGGAGAATGGGAAATACTAAATGCAAAAGGGACGAAGGGGAACAGAAGAGAGGGTTTGTATACATACCCGTTCATCACTTACTCCTTCGTCCTGCGTCGCCTGCCTCTGTTCTACACCCTCTTCCTGATAATCCCCTGCCTGGGACTCTCTTTTCTGACAGTTCTCGTGTTCTACTTACCTTCTGATGAAGGAGAAAAACTTTCCCTATCAACATCTGTTCTGGTTTCCCTGACAGTCTTTCTTTTAGTGATTGAAGAGATCATCCCATCTTCTTCAAAGGTCATTCCTCTCATTGGCGAGTACCTACTGTTCATCATGATTTTCGTTACCCTGTCGATTATTGTGACTGTGTTTGTCATTAACGTTCACCACAGATCTTCTTCAACGTACCATCCCATGGCCCCCTGGGTTAAGAGGCTGTTTCTGCAAAAGCTTCCTAAATTACTTTGTATGAGGGACCACGTGGATCGCTACTCTTTTGCAGATACAGAAGAGAGTAAACCGGTAGTGAAAGGTAAAGTCCTAGAAAAAAGAAAACAGAAACAGATGAGTGATGGAGAAAAAGTTCTGGTTGCTTTCTTGGAAAAGGCTGCTGATTCCATTAGATACATCTCGAGGCATGTGAAGAAAGAGCATTTTATCAGCCAGGTGGGTAAACTGCTATTCTTAATAACGCTATTGTTGAGGTGTGCAAGAATGAGTATTTTCATTTCCATTTACAACAAAATGCTGTCACTGTTTAAATGTGACATTATTAGCTATCTGCTTTACACATATGAAATTTAAAATGAGCCCTGACATAAATTAATCTTTGGTATGGATTTTTAAGAAGTTCACACCCTGGCTGGTGTTGCTTAATGGACTGAGTACGATCCTGCAAACCAAAGGTTGCCAGTTTGATTCCCAGTTGGGGTGCATGACTGGGTTGTGGGCCAGGTCCCCAGTAGGAGAGTGTGAGAGGCAACCACACATTAATGTTCCTCTCCTTCTCTTTCTCTCTCCATTCCCCTCTGTCTAAAAATAAATAAAATCTTTTAAAAGAAGAAGTTCACAAAAACAGAATGAGCAAAAGTGAAGCAACTATAGATTAAGCACAATTCCTTATAACTAGCTTAATTCAATTTAAAAATAATTCAATTCTACATTTTCAATAGGCTATTCTGATCTCTGGTAACTTCACATTTTTATTTGGGATAGTGGATATTTCTATGCATAGTATTTGGAAATAAAGGAAGAGAATCAGATTTTTAAACTCATGTAGACATATAGTGTTTCAACCAATATTTTGGTGAGAGAAAAGGGGGTAGTTATTTAGCTTACAGATTTTGGGGAGGAAAATGTGTGGCTAGAGTGTGAATTTCAGACTCAAAACAGTCCTGGACTCAGATCCTACCTATATTCTATGTGACTTGAGACATAGCGCATAGTGCCCATATAGTAGGTATAGGACATTTATTTTCCCATGAAAGATGAGAACTGGCCTGTTCTTCTCACACAAAGAACTGACTTCTCTAGCCTCCGTGCTTTTCCTGCTCTGACCTTGCCCTTCAGGGCTTGTTGCCCATTCCTTCCCACCCCTCCTCCTGCCCCATCTTCTCTTCCCCCAAAGGGGCTTGGCCTCCTCTCTCCCTTAGGAATTCCTGTCCTCTCCTGGTCTGTTCCGTTCCTGGGCAGTATCCATCAACCTGGAGCTGTAGCAGTGAAACCCAAAGGTGGAGTTGAAGAAAAGAAGTAGCCTGTGACACTGGCCTGTGAAAATTCTTAATTATTAAATTTATGGTTCATTTCAAATGTAATATCAGGAAGCGTCACACTGAGAGATACTGGCTTTTTATTTGTGTAAAGGAATCAGGCTTTCCCCATTTCAATCCGTAATATTTACAAATGCGTAAATGATCTGTTGTTTCTATTTTGCACCTTCAGTGTTGAGGAAAGTGTTCACAGGCCGATGAGCTTGGGCACCGTTAGTGAGGTTGTGGGGGAGAATCCAAGCCCATATTGAGGGCAGTGTGTTAGGTGTGTTTTGAAAACTGGTGGGCTGTAAATCTGATTATTGCTCTTTTTAAGTCCCTTAAAATAAATTCAGAATGGTTGCCCAGCATTGTAAATGGAAGTGTCTTTTTCTCTTTTGCAGGTAGTACAAGACTGGAAATTCGTCGCCCAAGTTCTGGACCGCATCTTCCTGTGGCTCTTTCTGATAGCGTCGGTGACAGGCTCTGTTCTGATTTTTACCCCTGCTTTGAAGATGTGGCTGCGTAGTTACCACTAGGAACTTCAGAGAAATCGAATACATTTACCATAGAGACAAAAATCACACTTTAGAACTGACACCCAGCTAGCACGTATATACAGCGTCCAAGTGCATGTGCGCATCGGAAGGGTCTGTGTCGTCCTCACGGGAACTGAACCTTGGTAAAGGTGGGCTTGCCCATTAAATTCCAGGTTGCCATTAAAATGGGTTGGGTTTAAGTAAAGCAGAATCTCCACAGGCCCCTCCCTGCCTTGGCTTCCACGGTCATTTAGGGAGGAGTCGTATGTCCCAGCCCCAGGTCACAAGCCAAGATGCACAAGAACTGTTAGTGGTAGGTGACTGATGCTCCCAGGAAGCTGGACTGAGGCCTAACCAAGCCTGAGGTCCACGGAGAGTTCAAGGAGGCCTCCGTCCGACTGGAGGCGTTTGTCAGGCAGGACTTGGGTCGCTGTATCTATGGCCGTCCTCGGTGGTTTTGCCTGAGTTGCACCTTGGGCTATGTGTTGTGTGTGTCTCTAGCAACATGGGTGAACATATCTCCACAACCATTTGGAGAATTCCACTGGAGTGACAGCCCCTGGCCCAGCCTAATTGTTACTGGGGAGATTCCAAGATGCCACTGGTCAAGTAAAGTCCCCCCTGAACGTGGCGTTTATTAAAAACAGCCTCACTTGTAAGGCTGGGGTTATTCTAGACTTTCCATTCTGTTTCTTTTCTTCCTTTCTTTCCTTTTTTAAAAAAAAAGTTCTTTAATTTTTCTTCTTTCTTTGTGTGAGGACATTTAAGTTCTACTCTCTTGGAATTACTCATAACATTAAAAAAGTTTTCAGATGGTAAAACTGCTGTGAATTGGGACTTCCTTGAAGGTCATATCAAAATAACTTAGAGTAGAAACGATGTCATCTGCTACCAGAAAGATGGTCTTAATGCCCATCACCTGTTCCTAGAAAATCGAAATACCTGTACTGAATGTTCTCTGATAATGCTGTTTGTAAGTCCCTGCATGTAGTCTAATCCACTTCAACAGTAACCTCTAGGCTTTCCATTCTGTTCTTTTCTCTCTCACACATGTCGGTTCTCTCGTCAAATTTCAGTCACGCCATACAGCCTCATGAGCCACAGTCTGATGTCTTACATTAGGTCCTCACAGCCCGTTCACCTCATGACGGAAGGTTTGTACCTTCGACTGTCTCCCTGTCTCCTTTCCCCCACAGAAGGGGCGGCCATGTTCCTGCTGTTTCTGAGTTCGACTTCTTTTCTTTGGAGTGGGGGATTCTACGTCTAAATGATACCAGGCAGTATTTGTCTTTCTCTGTCTAATTTATCTCAGCAAAACGCCCTGCGGGCTCATCTGTGTTGTAACACATGAAAGGATTTCCTTCATTTAAAGGCTAAATTATATTCCATTGTGTATGTACTTCTATGTGCCACATTTTCTTTATTCATTCATTCATCGACAGACACTTAAGTTGCTTCTATATGTTGGCCATTGTGCATGATGCTGCAATGAACATGGGAGAGCAGATATTTCTTTGAGAAAATGATGTTTTGTTTCCTTTGGATGTACCCAGAAGTGGGATTGCTGGATCATAAGGTAGCTCTTTTTTAACTCTATTTTAATTTCTTTTTTAAAAGAATGTGTTCATTTATTTTTAGAGAAAGGGAGGGAGAAAGAGAACCATCCATGTGTGGTTGCCTCTTGCACACCCCCTATGGGGGACCTGGCCCACAACCCAGGCATGTGCCCTGACTGGGAGTCGAACCAGCAACCCTTTGATTCACAGGCTGGTGCTCAATCCACTGAGCCACACCAGCCAGGACTATATTAATTTCTTGAGGAACCTCCAAAGTGGCTGTTTCAGCTTACATTCCCACCAACGGGGCACAAAGCATTTGTGTTCAGGACCTTTGCCTATTTTTAAATCGGGTTATTTGGTTTTTTGCTATTGAGTTATATGAGCTCTTTGTAATTTTGTACATTAACCTCTTATTTGATATATGATTTGTAAATCTTTTTTCTCATTCCATAGGATTTTTTTTTTTTTTTGCATTCTGCTGAGATGGTTTTCTTTGCTGGTCAGAAAATTTTTAGCTTGATGTAGTCCCACTCGTTTATTTTTTTCTATTGCTGCCTTTGCTTTTGGTGTAAAATCCACCCTCCCCCATCCCCAGGCCATTGCCAAGATGCTCTTCCTTCAATTTCCACGGGTCTCCCTGACCTCTGGGTGCACTTCGTCTCCTCTGCACCCTCACTCTCTAAGACTCACCAGGGTGAGTGTATTCACATGCTTTTTGCTCTCCAAAATTGCTGCTACCAAATCCCGGATTTAAGCTTGAAGCAATTTTTCTCTTTTTTGAGTTCTAAGTCTAAATCCCTATCTGGATTATTTTATTTGGGGCGTGTTTCTCATAAATAGTTTGTGTCTGGGACTTTTTAAAAACTAATTTAAGGGTTTAACCCTTTCACACATGTTTAATCTTATTTATGTCATTTTGTTTTGTGTTTTCTGTATAATATTTTCTCATTCCTTTTTTTGTTGTTCTTTTTCAGTCTTGACTAGATTTGCCTGTTCCTTCTTCTTCTCTAATGGCTTAAGTGTTATGCATTCACTTCTATTAATTTATGAATAGACATATTCAAACTCTTGCTAATCAGTGTTGAGAATTAATGCCCAAAACCACCATTCTCTGAACAAAACAATTCCTTTAGTACCTTACTTTCCTTATATCATATTTTATATTTCCTCAAAGTCATCAGAATTTTTGTTCCAGATTATTAATTTTTATGAATCTTTCTTCAGATTAATTTATTTATAATTTATTTAGTTCATAATAATATTACAAACACATTAATTGCTTTATTCATTTCTTGGCTCACCACTGTTTTTTATCCTAAGTTTTCCTTTTTTGCTTTATTATTTCAGAGGGAGACATCTCCAGGTAATCCTTTTAGAAGGTTTTGGGTGCAGTAACTTTTCTGAATTCTTGAATTTCCCAAATTTTAATTTATTCTGCCCTTACCAAACAGATTAGCGGGACATAGAATTCTGAGATCGGAATAATTTTTTCCTAAAACTCTGAAGACATCGTTCTACAACATCCTATATTATAAATGAGGATGAGAGGTCTAGAGAGGGTCAGTTCTCACTCCTTATTCCTATTAGATTCCTATTGTTGTTGTTTTTTCCTGAAACCTTAGGCTTTTCTATTTATCTTTGGACTTTGGAAATATCAGCTGTATGGTATATGCTGTGTCTATAGGAATTTCTATAGAAATTCCTCTCTCTGTCTCTTTCTCTCTCCCTTTTTATCTCATCATTTTGTCTTAGTACTTGTTGACTGATGTGTTTCTTCAACTCATGCACATTTTCTTGTCTTATGTCTTTTATTAATTCCCGGCCTTCATTCTCACTTTCTTTTCCTTTTGAAATTTTTAATACAGAGATCACAATATTTCTGGATCTGTCCTTCATGTTTATTAACTCTTCTCTCATTCTTTGTATTGCTTTAATTCTTTACATTGCCAGCTTGACATTATAGCTGACTTGCTCTTCAGTCATCATCTGTTCTTTCATTCAGTCCACCTACTGAGGCAGGGTTCTTGTTTGTTTGTTTGTGGTCGAAGCATGTATTCGATTTCTAAGAACTCTAAGTTGTCTTTTTGCTTGTCTTATCCTTTGGAATAGTTGGGGAAATACTAATTATAGTTACTTTAAAGTCCTCCATTGTCTGCATTAACTATTTTTTCAGGGGTTAATTCTCCCAATTTTTTATGCTTTTCATGGTCGTTTTACTCAAACATTTGGTGATTTTTGATTTGTTTATTCACCCAACAGTAAAAACTATTTCTAAATAGGAAACCTGGCTCCAGTCAACTTCCTTTACTGTTTGAGTCCAAGAAAGCGTTTCTCCTAGTGCGTGTGGGCAGCTCATCTCTGACATGTGGGGGCACCCCTTCCTCCATGGCAGGCCTCGCCCTCTGACTCCTAAGCCCACCCTGGTTTCCCATGGGTCAGAATGCACACATTCATGGGACAGATAGCAACTATGAAAGTAGAGGACGTCTGCAGCTGTACTTGGTCCTTCTATTGATTACTGAACAATGACACTTCCTCTTTAAGTCTCCCCTTACATTGTCTTAGGATTACTGTGGAGATTTTCTAGTAAAAAAAACAGTCTCTTTGGTGGTCCAATCTTTCCCACAATTCTGCTCTGTTAGGTTTTACTATAAATCTGGTGACATCTGTCCTACGATTCCTGCCATTCCCATCAAACTGGTCTATGGAGGTACCCTGGCCAATGTTCCAGTGCTGTTATGAATTTGTTTTTATTTTGTCTTTCTTCTCTAGTGTGAATAGGATTTGGAGTAGGGGAAAAAAGAAGGAAACACATCAGCCAGCCGTTTTATACTAGAAATCTTGTTAAAATCCCAGTCCTGCCAGACCTGCCCAATTAATACATGGCAACCAAAACACTGACAACCAAAGGAGACAACACACCATGATAAGAGTGTGAATCTATTTTGAGGGATCAGAATAATCTGGACTTTGCAGACTGGTGGAGGCTGGACACGGATGGAGACTGGAAAGATGATCTTCTTAGAAATAGGATTGCTAATTTATTGACAAAAAAGTGAGGCACGTATATTTTTTCATTATTGATTTTTTTAGGTAGGAAAAGAGAGACAAAGAGAGAAATATCAATTAGTTGTTTTACTTATTTATGGTTGCTTCTCCTATGCGCCCTGAACAGGGATCGAACCTGCAATCTTGATGTACTGGGACAATGCTCTAACCAACTGAGCTACCCAACGAGGCAGAGAGACATGCCTTGGAGTTCATGATCTTAGCAAGAGGACCACATCTACTCTAACAGAGTTATTCATGCCCGACTGTTTCCAGTCTCTGGGACATTTGCAGCTGCCTCCTTCTGCTTCCAGTCAGATCTCTAACCTGTGCATACCAACTAGCCCTTCTCCTTTCCATAGCCAATCTCTTCTCTGCTTGTGTCCTCGATCCCTCCTCTTGAAAATCATTTCTTTGAGTACCCTCCCTGTCTTGTATGGCTCTCTTTTGTAGACCTACAAAGTTCTGAGATCTGCTCTATTCTTAAAACAAAAAGAACCAAGCAAAGAGAATAATAGAATTTTTCAAATACCCTGAACTGCATTTTAGAGAAATTCATGCCATTCAAATTACTCTAAGTAGCAACTCTAAATTCTAAAAAAAATAAAAAATCACGTTTATATATTTTAAATGTTTAGACAGTACTTAATATGGTCAGTGTATTTGTCTTCAATAGATACCATGTTTTATACCACAGAACTGTATTTTCTGTGTTATGTGCACACATTATGGAATATTGGGGCTCCTTGCATTATCCACATACCTGTTACTTTTCTGTACATTTGGTTGGATTTTAAAAAGGAGGCAACGTGGTAAAGAAGAAACCAAGACACAAGGACCCTTGAGTTCCAACCCAGCTGTTACCCAGCTGTTAGCTATGGGACCTCACGAGGGTCATTTGTCCTCTCTGCTCAATAAGAGGTAATGACTCATGACCTCTGACACTCCTTCTGCTCTAAAACTCTATTCTTTGGAGCTGTATACTGGAGCTTGCACACTTTTTAAACTACACGACTTCTAATTATAACTGTTCCTTTGGGAAAGTGGAATCCGCTTTACCACTGCTTTAGGACAGGATTTGCAGATGTACTCTGTGATGAAATCAAGGATTCGATGCTGTAAATCGCTGCTGGGACTGTGAACTTAAAGGGCAACTCACTGTTCTTTTTATTGAAAACGCTGTTGACTTTAACTCATTACTTAACTTTATTTAACTCATTAGTTTGCTAGGTAAATGGCAATACTAATCTTAGAAAAGTGCATTTCAATTACGATTTGGTCTTAAATCTGAAAAAATATCGCATGACCCACTTTCCACAGCCCCTTTCTGCCCAGGCACATATATGGCAAAGGTCAAACATTTCTACATGTACGTGAAGCTTATGCCTCATTGCAGCTAAGTAAGGATAAAACACCAGTTTTAAATATAGAAAAGGTTACATATTTATATATCACCACGATGCTAAGGAAGTAACTACAAAAGAGAACTCTGAAGCCAAAAAATTTTTACAGATTTTATTTATTTATTTCTAGACAGAGGGGAAGGAAGGGAGAAAGAGAGGGAGAGAAATATCAATGTGTGCTTGTGTCTCATGCTCCCCCTACTGGGGACCTGGCCTGCAACCCAGGCATGTGCCCTGACTAGGAATCAAACTGTCAACCCTTTGGTTAGCGGGCCAGCACTTAATCCACTGAGCCACACCAACCAGGGCAAGAACAGCCCAAGTTTATAGCTTGCTTGTCTAAAATAGGATTTAACCCATAGTGTTATGCCTTTTTAATCTATTTTAATTTCCTTCTTGTCACTGACTTGTTGAAAGGACTAGATCAGTTTTCCCCAAGAACATCTCATGTTTTGGATTTGTCTGGTTGCTGGCTTCTGGTGTCATTTAATTTGTTCCTCTGTCTCCTGCATTTCCTGCAAATTGGAAGTTACAACTGTAATTCCGGTTCAATGTTTTCGACAGCATACATCAGAGATGATGGTGCAGAGTTTATATTGCATTGCACGAGGAGACATACTACCTGGCTCCGTAATCATTAAGACTAATCCCTGGGTTAAGGTGATGACAGCTGATCTCTTCACCTGTCCAACGATGAACTGAGTGGCATAGCCTGTGTCCCTACAACACACCCATTTTAATGACTTTTACCTTGGCCCTTTCCAGGTGGCCTCTAACCATCTACATTAGGACACTGTCATGTCCAAAGAGTAATATTTTATGTTGGGATAGACCTTTTGGACTGTGTCATAATTATTCCTTGGAAGCCCCTGCTATCTTGTATTAAGTGAATTCACTTAATTAACAGTCATGGTCACTCATTCATGTTTAACCTGACATATATTCCTTCTTTGTATTAAGACTTTCTATTCAATATGTCAATAAAATAATAGCAAAAATAAAAGTAACATGATTTCTTTGATTCATGGACGATCTTGTGTTCGGGGAAAGCAGCCAAGGGCAGTGATGCGTCTGCAGGTAAACATTGACCGTCCCACCTCCGGGCAGAGTTGCTGCCATCACGCCAAGGCGGCCTGGCCCACTGCACACTTAGACAAGACCCCAGATGCTCGAACATGGTTCCAGCTTCGGGCAGCAAGAGGAGATCCAAGCAGGCCAGGAGAATGCAGTATCCAAAGGGCATCATGGAAAGGAGATGATAAGTTGAGAAGATTGACTCAGGCAGCCTTCTAAACAGCCCTGTAAGAAAGGCACTATCCTCATCCCTGTTACAGATGTGAAAATTCTCCCCTCGGAGGAGAAAAGAGTGGGGAAGGATCAGCCTTACTGTGTCGCCAGCGGGATGGATGCTCCTGTGCCCAGTGAGGGTGTGTGGCTGCCCCCCACAAACCTGCTGAGCATGTGCATTCACAGGCCTATGCCTCAGTCTAATGCCCTCAAGAGGGCTCTAATTTTTCACAGGGCAGCTTAGTGGGGTTTGAAAGGGAAAATTCTACAGTGATCTGTTCTGCACGGTATAGGATATTTAACATCCCCACCCCAGGCCCTATGTGACGATCTCATCCCCAGTCATTGTGAAAACCAAAACTGCCCTTCTGGACTTTTCCAAACGCCAACTAGAAATGGCATGTGGGTGTGAGCACATGTGTGCACATGTGTACAAGGGGAGCAATCACATCTTCAGTTCAGAATGGCTGGTGCTGCTGGAGGGTTCAGATGAGATCCCAAAGTCAGAATGGGGGCTGTGAAGGGGTGCTGCTCAGATGCTGGCTCCTGTTCTCACTGCCCTGCCCCTCACTACATACAAGAGGCACGTCCTCAGCCTCAGGAGGGGTCAGCACTGGGTGGGGGCATCCCAAGTATATGCTCTCTAGGCCTGGCTCAGATGGCGCCTCCATGTCTCCCAGAGTCTCCATCCTCCTTCCCCCACCTCATGCGCCTCCCTCCACCCCAGTGAACATGGTGGGACTCATTTAACGGTGTTGGCGAGGATATGAGGGAAACAGAACTCTTGTGCGTGGTGAGCAGGAACGTGAAATAGTATGGTCACTGTGGAAAACCAGTACCACAGTTTCTTAAAAAGTTAAAAGTAGGATTACAACAAAACCCAGCAATTCCACCTCCAGGCATATACTCCAAAGAGTTGAAAGCAGGGACTCAGAGAGATTGCTGTACACTCGTTCATAGCATTATTCACAAGTGCTGAAAGGTGGAAGCGACCCAACCCAAGTGTCCGCTGACAGATGAGTACATAAATAAAACCCTGTGTGTACACACAATGGAATATCACTCAGCCTTAAAACGCAAAGACATTCTGACATGCTACTCCATGGATGAAACTTGAAGACATTGTGTTAAGCGAAATGTGCCAATTACCAAAAGAGAAATATTGTACGATTCCAACGACCTGAGATACCCAAAGTAGTCCAGTTAGGAAAGACAAGGTAGACGGCCGGTTGCCAGAGCAGTGGGAGGGAAGCGTGAAGAGTTGGGGTTTGATGGGCGGGATTCAGTTTTGTGAGATGGGAGTCTGTGGACGGAGGGTGGTGACGTGGTACAGTACTGTGCCACCGAACTGACCCTTAAAAGTAGGTAAGGTGGTAAGTTTATGCCACGTGCATTTTACCACCAGTAACTTTTTAAAAAATAAAATTGAATGTCGAATTGCTTTCATAGTAAAAAAAAAAATGTATCAAGTCACAACCAACAAGTACGTGAGAGAGTAGAAACACTTTCAAACAGAGTAATTCAAATTCCAGGTCTCCGCCCGGTGCACCGCACAGTGCCTTCTGCTCCAGTATGAGAGAGACCAGGAAGAATTTACATGGGGTCATCGAAGTCACGGTAAATCAACACAACAGACATTACGCAATCTTAAAAATTATACTTCAAGACTATGTAACATCATGGAGAAATGTTGCTAATGTGATGTTTTGAGAAAACCGAAAAATACAAAATTGCAAGGTAAAATTGAAGTGTTAAAAATTATATGCACACATAGGCAAAGACTACAAGAGAAAAGGCAAAATACAAGTAGTTCCTTTGTTAGGGCAGATTTATTGGGGTTTTTTTTCTGCTTTAAAATACACCTTTACATTGTTAGGGTAATATTTATATGACAAATAAAATAATAAATTCAAGTGGAGTAAAACAGAATTCCCTCTCAGGAAAGGAATCGCTCCAAAGGTACGAGATCACAATACCTGATGGAAGAAATCATTGTTTCCAGTCTCAGCTACAGTGGACAGATGCGGACGGTTGGTGAGAAAGGACAGCAAAGGCTGTGCTGGGCTTGCCTGGCCACCGCACACTGTGTCCTCCTGTTTCGATCACTCCAGCTACATTTCCAAGTGACACCTGGTCCTGGAGGTCTTTGTGTTTATGACTTTCCCCCCAAAGCTGCAACTGCTTGAGAACAACCGATTTCTGCCACCTTTGCAACGCCTCGAGCAGTGCCGGTTACCATCGGAGTCTCTCCCAGATAAATGCTGATTAACAACAGCCAGCTGAGACCGACTCTGACCACCTGCTATTACTGCTTGGTAATCAATGTATCAAATAATGCTGGTGTGTGCGTTACATCACAGAGACACGCACAAGAAAGCAAACTACAGGAGTTCACAAGCAGGGCAAATGTCAGGGAGGTTTGTGTGCCAAGGCTCACGTCTGGCACCTGTCATTGTACTGATCAGAAGCATCAACTGGAGGGTCAATAGAACCCCCTGTAAGAGTGGCATGGTGTTGATGACGTGCTTCACTGCACTGGGGTTCGTCATGTCCCTGGAAAGCCCAACACATCCAGACAAGGGAAGCCTGTGGCTGCTACCACTCTGGGCTCCAGCATTGCAGCAAATTTCAAGTATTCCTCTGTGCTACCAAGGAGGGCATCTGGGCTCCAAACTTGCAATCAAGCCCTCATTTTCCACCTAGTCATCAGCTTCAGTAGGTGGGGGAGTGAGCCAGGAAGCTTTATATCCCTTCCCTTATGGTGGGGAACACAGAACAAACACAGCATCTGTAAACTTCAGATGCAAATTTCAATTGCTGTAAAAGATAACATCCTTAAGATTTCCCTGCATTCCCCAGCAGCGGCTGTAGAAACAGCCCTGCAGTTCCAAACACACAGACAGCGATGAATAACCAAAGAAACACTCTGTCCACCACCATGGCCACGTATTTCCAGTCATCTTCTACCTGAAAGGCAAGCAAAAAGTCAAATCAACTTTAAAAATCAAAACTGTAGGAAATGTGCTCTGTTTCATCAATAAGCTTCTTCCTTTTCAGAGAAGATGTTCCCGGCATTTCGTAGGCATGGTCAGATCTTCAGAGCGAGTGCGCAGAAGAGCTTTTGTCTTGTCGGAGGAGGGCGGATACAGGCTACTCGCTAGTGCCTCCTGCAGCCAGCTTCAGTGAGCACGCATGTCAACAAGCCAGGATTCCATGGGTCTCAAAGGACTTTCCTGACCACAAGAAGCACCCCCAAGGAGCAGCTGCTCACACAGCGCTGTTCTTGTCATTGGCTCCAGTGGCTACCTCACTCCTTGGTGAGTCTGGGAATAGTAAACCTATTCCCAGTAAACCTAGGGCAGGGAGTGCAGGACATGCAGCATGATGGAGGACCCCTTATGAGGAACAGGCCGCCCTCTGGACCTCAAGGTCATGCTGGTTATGGAGAGTCACTGCATTTCTCATGTCCTTCCAGTGTTTGACCTCCTAACTTCTGCTGAAGTCTCCCTGGTTGTGTCTTGAGAGCCCTACCTGGTTGTGATTAAGTCAGCAGCAAGTCTCCCTTAGATTTTATGAAGGTGTCACCATGAAAGGGACTTCTGGGCTCACTTGTCCTGTGAGGCACCCCCCACCCTTCATCTGAGTGACATGCAGTCACAGTGTTTGTCCAGGCAGACTTCAGGCCCGGAGAAATCTTCCAATAGGAGACCCCGATGCTGCAAACTGCAATATGAGGTCAGAAGCAGACACCCGGCGTGAATTTTCAGGTGCCCTCGGCCAGTCATCCTTAGGGCTTCCAAGCCATAGTAGCATGGACCTCGCTACTATGAAAGCTGGTGTGATTTTCTGGAGCTCTCTCCCCCCTGGAGGATGGAGAAGGTCCATGCTAGTATGGTTACACTCTGGGCAGCAGGAGCAGAGTACGCAGATGCTAAAAATATCCCTGAGGCTCGTTCAGTCAGCACCTAACAGGACTACAGCCACAGAAGACTCTCTCTGCCTTCCTCCCACTGCCCTAGATTGCAAGCTGCTCTGCAGTCATTTCCTTTTCCCTCTGGGGGCAGCTCTTGCACCTCCACCCCTCCATCTGCCACTGTTCCTTGTGCAGGAGCTCTTGGTTTTATTAATCAAGGTTGCCTTGAATGTTTATTTTAACCAGACTTCACTTGAGTTAATGTTGCTGGAGGTGGAGACTGGCTCTGAGGCAACCCGACCCCAGGTCAGCCCACCCACAGCAGCATAATAACAGACCTGGGTCTTAGAGTAATGCTGCCTGACCCTCTTGTAAACAGAACTCACTCTGAAAATCTGACCACGTCTATAAAGTGGCCCGGGGCCTGCTGCCGGTGGACAGGCTAGAGGAGACATTTACCTCCTTCATCTCATTTTGGTTCTTCATGTTTTCTGCTATGAATTGAACACTATTAATCACATCTTCGACTTCAGGTGAGTGCTCCGAATTTTCTGCCATCCATTGTAAAGGCTGACCACTTAATCTTCTCTTGCTGGTGGCAAGCTGATGTGACTTACGGCAGTGGCAGCATTCTTTAAGAAGTTTGGGCTCTCCTTGATTACCAAACTTGACTTTGGTAGGCCTACCGGAAATGCTTTCGGGGTTTTTATCAGAACCGGCCTTCCTCGTCTTGTCCAGAGGCCTCCTCATCATCAGGGTCTGGGGTAACCGCTGG